GCAGAGCGCTGCTGGCGGGAGAATTCTGGGAGTCGAAGTCCACAAGTCTTAAAGTTGCCAAGTTTGGAACCACTGGCTTAGTGGCTCCTTCTAAATTTATGGTTCTAAATACGTTATCATGATTTGATGAAGGATTACCTCTCCTTCTCTTAAGCTCTCTCATCTTTGAATCTTCATTTCCTATACAGTCATCTAAGACACACACTCACATACTTTTTACACCTGGGATGTGAGAAACAGCTGGAACAGATCATCCCACTGTATCCCCCATTGTGTATTTTCCCAATTTCTAGACCGTCCAGGCCTCCATCTTCCATTTACTGCTCCACCTTGCAATGCAGCCCACCTGGGTGATGCAGGCCCCGGTGAAGGCTACGATGACGGCCACCACATTGACAGTGAGCTGGAACTGCAGGAATTTGGAGATGCTGTCATAAACATTGCGACCCCACATCACCGCCTTGACGATGCTGGAGAAATTGTCATCAGTCAGGATGATGTCAGAGGCCTCTTTCGCCACATCGGTGCCTGCTATGCCCTGAGGATGAGACGAAAGTAGAGGGTTGGTACGTTCTTCTTTTTGCGATGAGTAAAAAACAAATAAAACACCCTCTCCCTTTCCCCCTTAAGGACTGTAATGATCCCAATAGCTGTGTGTTCTAATAGTATTTTCATTGATCTAATTCATCCATTGCTAACCCTATGCCAATTAAAACACATATGTTTATTTATTTATTGATAGGCTGTATGGTTGTAGATGGGAACTCTGCATTATAACATAACAATATTCCTGAAAGCAATAAAGTCAGGAGAGAAATCACAACAGAATCAAACTTTATAAGCTTGCATGTTTATCAAAATCTATTATTTTCTTGACAGAAGTTAAACCCAATACCTCCTAACAGTAATGAGGAGCAAATGGCAATATTTCGGGGGATTTCACTAGACTGATTCTTTAATTAAAACACTTGCGATCTCTGGTTAGGACCATCCCAAGCATTGGCTAAGTAGGGTAAGAAATTAAGTCTGCACACCAGGTCAGGTATAAAGGGCAAATCAGGGGTGGGTTTCAACCGGTTCGCAGCGGTCCCTGCGAACCGGTTGGTCGCCGAACCCAGAAGTAAGTAACTTCCGGGAACGGCAAAGGGCGCGCCCGCCCGCCCACGGTCCTTACCCGGTTTTGACGAGTTCTGGCTTCCACGCATGCGCAGGACGCATACAGCGCCTGCGCGATCGTCCAGGAGCAGCTGGAGCGTCGTGCAGACGCTAGTACGCATGCGCGCGCCGCACGCGTGCACGAGGACGCCGCTGGCCCTGTTCCAACCGAACCGGTTGGAACGGGGCGAGAAACCCACCCCTGGGGCAAATCAACAAAATATGTACAAGGGTCTTAAACCTCGATCACTTAACACATGGGTAGGCATTCCTAATAAGTGATCTTGCCAGTGTGAACACCCTTTAAGCAGGGACAGGATGGACACAATGTTTAGAGGCCAAGGTCTCTAGAGTCGTGGTAGAAAGTTTTTGACTTGTTTTGTACATCTAAATCAAATGCTGTATTGTTAACTTCGGGCAGACCTTGTTGTGGACCAAGATGTGTGGGTTGAGACTCTGCAGTGTGACATATTATTGGCTGTATGCTCCTTCCATTTGAGGATGCAGCTAGGTTTGACTGGTCTCATAAAATATATCTGCTAGATTCCCCACAGGGGTTCCTGGGTATCCCTGATTCTCCTCCCCACCCCACCCCTAGTCATTCCCTTTTTCTCTCCTCTGTTCTCTCTCCGCCAACATCACCTCTTCCTTTAGGAGAAATAAGCACCAGCTCCTGATTTATTTACTGTACTTCTTTCCTTATGTTCTCTAGTAAACACTGTAGGAGGAGAACTATGTTAATCTATGGTAGCCAAAAATTAGGAGTTTGGGGTGAACTATTTCGTCAGAAGTGTGGAGTGGTTAAGCAGATGCAGCATTTAAATTGGGGCAATGCTTCCTCCCCCCCCCCCCCGGCACCTCAATTTAATTTCTACATCAGTTTAGCTACTCCATTATTCTGATGAAGTGAGCTATGGCTTACAAAAGATGATTTTTCTTAAAAAAACGTGTTAGTTGGAAAAGATGCTACCAAAGTTAGATCCACACATTAAAGGGGGAAAAAAAGAGAGATAAAACTGCATTGTATTCTACAAGGCTAAGAAAGACAATTAGCTAGCCAGCCAGCCAGGAGAACTTGAATAAGAAGAGAAACAGAACCTTTGATACAAATACACAGACATGCATACACACACCTTTGAATACCTCGGAAACTGTGGAACCCAGTTCTGTGTTCTAGAGTAGCAACTCCAAAATGACTCTGGGTGACTTACAGTTTTAAAAGAATGCATAATATAAAAGAAAAATAAGAAAATCTAGACAAAACCACAGAAGTAACCAAAGAATGTCAGGGGTTCCACAAACTCTCCCATCCCAGGAATGGGAAGAAGAGAGTCAGATTGTTAGAAATTTATATAATATTTAAAGGTGGGATCCACATAATATTTCTGGGGTTTAGCTCCTTAAAGTAGTGAAGATACAGAGCTGTAACATAGGTACCCATTTCTACCTGCACCACTGTATGTTGGACCAGCTGTGGCATCAGGAAACCCATGTAGATTTCATTGCAATAGTTCAATTGCAAGGGGACCAGACATGAGTGACCCTGTGAAGGATCTTCTACTCAAAGAAAAGCTACAACTCCATGAGAACAATCCCCCCCCTTCAAGTTGTCCAATAGTCTTGGATGGGGAGATATAACACCAACCAAGATTAAAGATGAAATCAACTCAGCCTTAGCCACACACTCTTGTCAGGGTTGAGTCTGTCCCTCCCTACCCAGAGCTGAACATCCTCGACATAGGGCCACTACATTGGCAGCTTCAACTGCGCCACTCAAGTTGAGATGCACAATTGGGTATCATCAGCATAATGACAATATACTGTTATTTGTTAATGCCTGGAATAGAGTTCTGTTCTATCCTAGTGATATTACTGAACCCCAAACTGACATATGACTTCACCAACGGTTTCATGTAGATGTTAAAAAGGAGGGACAAATGGTTGAACCTTGAGGTACCCCATAGGTGAGAGCTGCAGCTTATGACTTTGCGTGTAGGATGTATGTGTGCACCTACAGTGTCACGTACATAAATCCTCTTCAAATTCTCCCAACATCTTGCAGCAGAATTTTCTCCATGAATATGTACTAACTGTTGGTCATTCAGTGTTAGACCAATAATACACAACACCCGTTCGNGTATAACATTGCTATATGATTTACATATTGCCAACCCAACCATTAGATTATATTCCTAACACCTTTCCTTAACCATGACCTTCCTTTACGTCTGCTTCCTGAGATTCCTAGTTGACATTCTATTTTAGAGTAAGTCTCAGTTTTTTTCATGGACATAATTGCAGGTAAGTGTGCAAATAAAGGTGGGCAATTTGCAGCCCCTGCCTCAATACCCCCTTTGCATGGACCCAAGTTGGCCATTTGATCTAAGATAGACTTTTTGATTTCATTTGATCAAAGATAGGCCATTTAGTCTAAGATGGGCTTTCCATGCACGAAGAACCAAGATTTATTGCAGATATTCTAGCTCAGAGCTCAGCAACCTGCCGTTCTGGAGCTGCAAATGGCTCTTTCATCCCTCTGCTATGGGTGCCTGTCACCAGTCTGCACCACAATTGATATACAGTATTTAACATTTCTAGGTGTTTCCCATGAAAATTGAAGAATGTCTAAAAATACAAAGTTTGTGGACAGCAGATTAAGAACACACTTTACTTGCATCCTTAACAATATTTATAACTGTAAAATAGATAGCCATATAAAGGAAGCATATTATGCCCACACTTTCCCCAATTCAAGAAAAGTAGTACTGCTTCTCTAAAGTGCATTTAATCTCTGAAAGTACACCCTTGAGATATTGGAATGTTTCAAATCAAGGCTTAGCAATGAGAAGGTATTTGAGTTTGACTTCTGGCTGCTAAAAAAAATAATAATTGTCCAAACTCTAGAAGCTTTTAAAATCTCCCTGTGAACCGAAAGCAGACAGAAACTGTTTACCTTAATCCTGTTTGTCACGTTGAGAGATTTTGGAATGAATGAAAGAATTTAAAGAATTCACCATGGGGTGTAAAGATTTCACCAGCAAAGTCAGTGACTTCATCAGGGATTCAGTGGCACAGAGAAAGTCAGAAAGGGCCCTGCTTGTAGCCCCTAATTCACACATAACTATCCAAAACCACCTCCCCATTCTTACCCACCAGTTCTCCACATTGATATTATACACAGGCTTGTCTAGATTAGTGTCATATAAAACGGTGGCCAAGTTCTGTCCTTCGCCAGAGAGGAAACTCAGAATAATGTCTTCACAAATGATCTTCAGGATCATGCTCTTCTGGAGACACTGGAGTTCCTCCGTGAATTTGATCTTGGCAAGAGAAAAACAAGCACGGATTTCTTGGTTCTGAATTCCAAGTAGCTTTAGATCATTCTCCACATGCTGGAGATTTTCTGCAGAGAGGGTCTCCTCTATTAGGCCTCCTCCATACTGTAAGTAGATCTCCTGTACTGGCAAACGTTTTGAGAATTGGGTTTGTCCACCAGCATTCAAAACAGCCACTTGGCAGGTCTCTGTCCAATAAGTCAGTGACAAGATTTTCCCATCACACTGATCTTGAGCCGCCTTACCTTTCTGTAAAGAGCGCGATGTTTGGAGCATTTTTTTCAGCAACCTACAAAAGCAACGTTTCTGCTCCTTAGTTAATGAATTATTTGAGGCAGGTTGGATTTTTTTGGAGAAAGACATACCTTTTTTTTAAACCACAAACCTCCAAAGATGGAGGTAAGATTTGAATGTACTTTTGGAGGTTGAATTCCTGGAAGCCAAAATCTGGGGGAGAGAAATTGAATGGATGAAAGCTATTGCAGATGATCTAGCCCAGTGGTTTAGGATTGTGGGAAGCTGTGGTTCACTCATCAGTGTCTGCAGAAGGAAGGAAAAATGACAAAACAAGTTCGTAATTCAAACCGTGTATCTCGGGTTAGAATCAGAAAGTAAGAAAGGCAGGGGGTTGCATCATGACATTTTGTTGTACATTGTAGTCCTTATTGTCTAATTGTGGATTATATTGTGAGTGAACCACATTTGGTTTTAAAGGATTAGACCAGGGATGGTATTCACTTACTTTCCCTACTGGTTCACAAATGTGAGCATGCACATACTCGGCTTTCCACGCATGTGCTTTGGTTTGAAAACATGCCTAAATAGGATGGCATAGAGCTGGGGCGGGTGGGCTGGCCCACCCACGATGTCCACTACTGGTTTGGGTGAACCAGTCTGAACTGGCTGAATATCACCTCTGGATTAGACTACAACAACATATAAAAACAAAGAAGAGCCATACTCTCTTGGAGACTTTACTTTGTATTGGGAAACTGCCACCCAGACTGTAAGGATAGGTCAAACAGGGACCTAGCTTGGAGTCCTTGCA